ACTTGAAAATTAATATAAAAATGTAAAGAACATTTCTGGACTCAAAACCGAGTGCTTTCATTTTCTTCTACAGCATTTTCTCGGCTTTTGTTTGAGGTTTCATTGAAACTTGGCTCATCATCCACTGACACCTCGCAAGCATAGAACGGCAAACTCTCATAGTTGTTTATTTGATGTCGATGCGTAAATAATGCTCTTTAACTCTTTTTCTTTCCATAACTTTTGGAACGATACCCGAGTAAAGGGAAAGGGCGGTAGTTTTCGACGTATGCCTTTTTATTCTTTTTGTGGACAGGTACTGTGTTAGCCAGCTTCCCCTCTCGTAAAGATGTATTAGACAACACGGTTAAAGACGGAGCGATGATAGAGGCGGTCTCTTTTAGGAGCCTGGCAGGAATCTCATCGGGGCCGGTAGCTTTTTCAGGTTTTAACGCCTCAAGAATTGATTGAACTTGTTGAACAGGCAGGAAAATGTCCGAAATGACGGAGTTTGACGTAGTCCTCTGTGAGCAGGATTGAGTTCGCAAGACGACTTTGTTATCTGAAGTCAAGCATTCTCAGCCCATTCCACCGGTTGTGGTGAATATTAAGGGTGTAAATGTTCTGTGTTCAATGTCGAGAACTGTCCTTGAGTACTGTCACTTCTTCTAATTCTCATGCATACTGTAGATATTCTGTGGCTCTAGGCTCTTACAGGACATGGGATTTGGTTGTAAAACCCTGACATCAAAGAATGCCGATCGCTGGTGTTCGCGGTATCCATGTGCAACAATGACCAGCCTTGTGCTTTGTTAGCTCCTCTGTTCAGTTGTTCTTTGTTGATGTCTAGAGGGACTGGTTCGCCTTCAAATCGTTGCATACCACACTTAAGAGTTCAGGGTCCAGGTCTCTCAGCTCATTATTTCGTTGTTCAAAATCATGGCGTGGTCTAACGTAAAGACTTCCCCGCATACACATGTGGACATGGAGAGGGAATATCATCGACTGGCCAGTCATATTATAGTTTGATAGTATTACGGAACTCCTGTTTAATCTGGCTGATTACAATTGCGTTTCGTTATTGCAACAACAAGTAGTAGAGATATTGCATTCTCCAGTGGCTCTAGTAAATCCCGGTTCTTAGGAGGTAATTAAGTCGACGGATATTTTAAGCCGAAGGTGAAGTCAGCACAGCATACCTGTGCCTCTTGTCTGAGCGAACTTTGCCAATTGAACTACCTCACTCACCCAATCAGACACCTTCTTACTGACGTAAGAGCTCATCGCCGCGACCAGATGTATCTTCGCTTTCATCTTTCTTTGCCTTAAATACTTCTTTCACACTGTCTTTCTTGTTCGGCTTTGCGATAATCCAGCGCTTCTTGCCGTTTGAGAAGTAGCCAAAATCTGGACCCAGGGTACTCAACGTGTCTAACGATCTCTTCATCTCTGTAGTAGAGTCTGTCCCACCTGCATCATCGGCTGTGGATGTTTCATGTAGACTCGTGATAAGAGGTTGGATCCTTAGAGCACAGAAAGCCATTGCGATCGGATCTCCCCGTGTGGTACTTTCTGCTCAGTGACAGGATCTCTCTATCACCAGTGATAAGTTAATAATTGTCTCTACGTCTTAGTCACGAAAGTGCTTACAATGTTTACCTCTCTTTTAATGATTTTGCAATCGTTCCTTTGAGCATCAACAAGCCGCATATAGAAGCTGAGTTAGCATTCCTTTAAAGTAGTTTTCCCATTGATTTCGAGTGGCCTTGTCAACCTTGACCTCTTGAAGTTCTGTAGATGGTTACCGATAAAGGACAAGAGTGGGAAAATTTAAAATAATGACACAAAACTTCTCAATAGTTATGTCAAAAATTATAAACAGCGTGTTAAATTGAGCAGGTGCGAACTAGAACGCTATGTTCAGGTTTATAATGCCAGGTAGTGTCATGATTTAAAATAAAAATTACGTTTAAAATAATTTGCTTCAGACTTCAAAAGAGATGATTAAAAGAAAACTGACATGTTGGTCTCCTGATTAAGCTTTATAAAGAAACATTTTCATGCCCTACAGTCAGTCATATGTACTCTATGGCTTTGAACTCTCAAGCGGCAGATGAGTGAGGACGTTGGTCTACAGTCAGTCGTTCGATTGTACTTATGCATGGTCCTGCAAGTAACTTGATGGCTTTGACAACCGTCCAGATCTAATGGTCTGGTCTCCAACACTTGAGGCTTGTCAGGCGTTACAGAAAGTGACTGCCAGTTCTTGGTTTTGCCGCTGTGGCTTTGTCTAGTTGTTAGGTCAATGTAGCGTCTGCTAACGGGGGTGGTCGAGGCTCGTCTGGAGTGGCTCGGATGGATGACTGCTGGGGGATCATCTTTTGTATCAGGGACGCCATCCAAGATGGTGCTTTTTAGCCTCTGTAAAGCTGGGTCACAAAATCTGTCTCTCTGGGTTTCATTGGGTTGGTGATCTGGAACGGAAAGGATGTGGTTGTTACGAGTGGCATCACAGTCCTTCATGAAAGCTCTCCATAGATAGCCGGCCGGCAGCATACCTCTCCTAGGCTTGTAGCTTGTCTCGTAATCATACTGCTGAAGTGGTAACAAGGCACTCTAGCTTCTTGAGTGCTGATGCTAAGGGCTTCTGTATGATAAAGACCAGGGATTTTTTATCAGTCCGCAAATGTCTTTCTTAACGAACACATATTGGTGGTTGTGCTCCATGCCAGAGACCGGGAACTAAAATTACTTCTCGATCTTAGAATACTTCCTCTCTGCCAACGGGAGTGTCACTGGTTCACCATGCTGCATCAATAAAAAGTCAAGTCCATTCTTGGACGCGTCTCCCTGGCCCTCTGTTGGGTCACCCTTTTTGAAGTACTTGAGTTCTGGTGCTTTCTTCAACAGCGTCTTTGATCTCTTCGAAGGCATCTCTCTGGTCATGAGTCCAGATCCACTCGCATTCTTGCATTTCAATCTCACTCTACTAAGACTGAAATTTGTTTAGCGCTCAAAAACTGTGTTCGTATAACAAGTTTTATAAGACTTGTGAGTAAAATATCACACCCTCGTCTTGCCGCGCGTTTGATTGAAAACGAGAATAACTCAAAATAGATGTTCTCTCAAAAACTACAGATAATTTCCTCGATCAGTACATCTTGTGTCATCAACATCGTTGCAAGAATTCTATGCTTTTGTAAAACAGACTCCTCTTCTTAGGTAAACTTGTTGGTTCCAGAAAGTAAGAGCCTCATTAGAAAACAGCTGTGCGCCAGCGCCTGCTCTCTGCGAAAATTTGGAGAAGCTGTTGACAGCTCCTTACTTTTAACAAAGATTGTTAAAATCCGCTGTAAAACTCTGATAGTTTTTAATGAGGGAGACTTACTTTTAAGCAGGACCCGCTTTTTTTGCAAAAGATAAATACAAAAAACTCGAACCTTCTTCATTGTGAGACTTGTCAGAGAAAAATATCACAACCTCATCTTGCCACGCGTTTGATTGAAAACGAAAATAACTCAAATACATTCTTTCGCAAAAACTAAAAATCATTGCTTTGATCAGTATATCTTGTATCATCAGCATAGTTACACGAATTCGGCGCCTTTGCAAAGAAGGATCCTCGTGGTAGGTAAACATGTTGGTTCTAAAAATGATGAGCGCCTCGTTTGAAAACAGCTTTGCGCCAGAAACAAGGTCTTTAATTGCCTCGAGGCTTTCTAAAGAAAGCGATTGTATTTAGCACGGATTTTTCGGATTTTCTTTAATTGAGAAATTGAAACTTGCGACCGGTATCTGCACTTGATTACAAGTAGATTTATTGACAATGAAGAAAATCTGACTAATGGGTATATCTCTCGACAGCCTCGCTTAATCAGTATTCTAGCATAAACAACGTTTACCTTTTTTACTCAGATTCTCGTTTTATTGTGGAATCGAAACTTGCAACTCATTCAAAAGTGATAATCACACCCTCTGGACAAAATACACAGTGAATAGGACTCTTAGAGAGCCTTCTTGAGAGATTCGAGTCACTAATATCGTGCCTGAGTTTTCTTTTCATCCATCGAAATCAAGGACGATTGAATGGCACAACGAGACGCACTTCCTATTGGGTAGAAAAAATACGCCACTAATGCCAGTTCCCCCACTCTCCTCTTTTCCTACCTCTACGCTCTAAAGGGAATAAGACTGAGAAGTGCTCGAATGGGTTACTATATATTAATTATTAATGATTAATCCGATTTATTGGGGTAAATAATTACCAAGAAATTGGAAACTACACCCTTCCTGCGTGTAAGATGGATTCAATAGAAGACGACGCTTTCCAATGTTTATTCACCGGATGATATTTTATAGAAGCTTTTCTTTGCTTTACTAGGTTTCTTTTCAACCAGACTGGCCAGTCTTTGTGCGAAGAAACCTATCATGGAAAACTTCTTAAGTGCGAAATTTAGGAGTGTAGTAATTGAGAAGGGGAAACTAGGAAGGGGCTTAGGAAAATTTTAAAATTGCTGTAAATAGCTGCTTAGTTCTGATGATATTCTTGCCGAGATGGGATGAATTTGATGCTTTTTTACTTAAGAAAGGCAACAGCCTTACAAGTAAGTAAGCTGAATGTTGTTATTGGAAATACCAAATAGCCATCTCTCTAACTGGTTGTTTCGTAAGAACATACCAAAATAAATTCAAAGTAGGGTTAACAACATCGTTTTTGTAGATAAAGTTATGTCAGTAAATTTGTATGCTCAGAAATGTTTTTCACTCATTGTTTGACCGCCACAGCTGAGTCATGTCACTGAAGACAACCTAGGTTCTACACTCTACAGCAAAAGTTTTCTTGTAAGCAATTTGATTGGTTCATTTACTCTCTGTTTTCACTTTCATTTTCGGTGCCTCTGTCTGATCAGAACTATGAATGTTTACTGTAAAAAAAGTCAGCGTGCTCTGATCTGCTGGTATCTTTCCCAGTGCGCGATAGATTTTAGGCATCTTTTACAAAAAGAAGGATGAGTCCTAACTTACAAGAAGGACAGCTTGGTATTGTTACTGAATATGCCTGATGGTAATTCCTTCAACAGGTTGTTGCTGATTTCCCTGCCAAGAATTGATAGAGGGTGGTGTTCATTGCCATGTATTTGATAATTACGTTAAATTAGAGTGTATATCCGGTGATGCTGTTCTTTCTTGTATGCTTTGATATGGAGGCTCAAACAAATCTATGTAATCCTTCCTTCTCTATATGAATATAACCTATTTTTTGCTTAACTAGAACTGTAAGTGAGCATGTTCCATTTTCACGTTGACTGTTTTTTTTAATTTTTGGAGACTGTGCCTTAGTTCTTAGATTTGGGAGCTCTATGTAAATTAAGAGCCTGGAGAGGGGGAGGGGGGAGGGGGTATTGCTTAAATACCATGAACATTAAAAAAGCAGAGAGGGGATTTCATAATCTCTAGCGGGGAGATTCCCCAAATGAAGAAGATTTTATCGGGTAGTTATTATTGTACGGGTGAGAGTGGTGCTGCGAAGAATTGTGTTCGGAGCCAATTTCCAACGTTTCTATAAGTCCGGCGGAGGTTATCCTAAGGGTTGATTAAAGAATATTGTCCTTCGCAGGACTACACTCATCCGGACGATTAGGCCACAAGGTCACACGTCAGTCCGTGTCATTGACACAGTGACTGAAGGAATGAGTTCAAGTACACTTGAGGTGTTCAAATAAAGGTTGGGCGGAGCTAGTCATGATTTTTGGGAGCTAGAAAGACTCAACATTATAACTGCAAATAACTCGGAAAGGAGTCCTTTAGTTCACCATTACTCAAATTCCTATCAAGAATCCCTATAAATGAGTCTGACACGGATAAGAAATAGTCTTGGCTTACAGCAATTCCAGCTGGGAATAATTACTGAAGATTCCTTGGGGCAAGTCTCTCAGCTTGTTGTTGCTCAAGTACCTATCAAGATAACGTTAGAAAAGTGTAAAGTACATGCTGAATACAACCGTTACGATAAGAATGACACCTGAACGTTTAATCTCTTCATTATGAAAACTATAAAGAGATACATAAAGAAAGTAACTAATAGATTACTGATATCGTATCTTGAATCATAGGTTACTCTCGTCAGCCTAATGACCCATCACCGCCAGATATTTTGCCACTTTCTGAAGAGTAAGGTTATTAAAAGTAGTGATAGTCCAATTGAGCGGAAAGATAGCCCATCGCCGGGAACTTCATCAATAGTTTCTGTAGTTTCTTAGTTTCGCTTTATCTATTTTTGACCCCTAGCTGGAGAGTATGTCTTTCTCCAAAACACCATACATTGATCTGGCCAGGGCTTAAACCCGGACCTGTCAATCTGGAGTCAAACACCCACACCAGTGGGCCACTGAGCTTTGCAATGTTAAGAGAAGCACTAGCAATTGGCTCATGCAGTGGTTCCTATGATTGGCGTTCTTTTACTCCCTTTGGTATTGAGCAACTGTTTTATGGTTCAAATTTTATTGATCGAAGAATTTATTCCTTATCTGTAGTCTTCATATAAATAATGTTTTGTATCTGGTCACCAGTGAAAGTGAAAAAGTAGCGCAAACTAAGTTCGTCGCAACGTTAACAGACAAACAAAACTGAACTGATGAGTTTATTTTTTTCACTTTTATTTCAGTGACGTATTATTGAACAATTCCAGCTCCGTATACTGCAACCTTTGTTGAAATTAAGAGTTAAAACTTAAGTTGAGTTAAGATTCTTCGTAAGCGTGGCTTGACAACTTATTACACTCTTTGATCAACCTAATAAAGCAAATATAGCTTTTTAATCCAATGTAGAACATTTGCACATTAGGATCAACTAAAGTGACTGAATTCCACATGTAAGCTTTATTCTTGAACTTATCTCTCTTAAACTATTTTTACGGTACATTTTCCATTGTCCTAGGGGATATTCAATCAATGTAGAACATGAACATTAAGAATTCGACTACAAGTTATTGTACATTTACATTGTCCTGGGGTTGTCCTAATTGATTTGAGTCTTGCAACAACATGAAAGTAATTCCTTTGAGAATAAGGCCTACAATAGCATAAGAGGAATTCCTCTAAGAATAGGGCTTTTAGTGGAGAAGTAGTCCTCTGGGTCATTATCTTTTCTTGGTGTTTATAACTGTTTAATTACACTCACAATTTTGACATGACAGGCGGAAATTTCCATGGAATTAAATTAAAGCTTTTTCCACTACAATTCACACTAACGATAGTTTGGTGGAAGACGTCACATTCGCAAGGGTCTGGGCACTCTAAAATGAGGCAAAAATGTTGGCCGTTAAAATTCATCATCAAAGGCTTCAAATTTGAAAGAGTTAAGTCAGTTGTTTGGCAACGAAGGATGTTTAATTTCCATAGAACATTACTGTAAAATCACAATTACCAAGATTAGAGTAACGCTTCAGAGTTACGATGTAAATTAATAGATCATGAGTCAAAGATGAAAACCAGAACGAAAACACGAACTTCAGTTACACTGTATGCAGGCGCCAAAATCGACAAACTGTGGCATACTAACTTCACTTGGAATAGAAATAAGTTTAAGCACATAAATGTGAATTTACTTTGGTTCTCATCATACACGTCGCTTCCTTCACCAGATAACTATCATACCAATAATTAACATTCATACCTAAAAACAACATACAAGTTAAATTAAAAGGATATAGAAAGATTACTTTTGAAAGGTAAAATAAGACCCAACCACCAAAGTAGCTTAAACGTTTTTTGGGGTGGTTAGAATTTTGAGCAAATGAAAAAGTACAGGTTTAGACAATCCAATTGCGCAAAGTGCTGATATACATCAACAAAACAATAAAACCTCACCTTCAATTCTGAGGCTGATGTTCCTTCTTAACACCTCTCCATCTCCTCTTGCCTCGCAGCTGTAATTCACGTTGTTTTCCGAAGTTACTTTAAGCTGAAATGTTATGCTGGTACTATTTTGAACAGCGACACCATCTTTTCTCCATACAATGTATGGAGCCGGCGCACCTTTCATTGGGCACCACAGTTTAGAGGTTCTGTTCAAAAATACATACTGCGTCTTTGGAGCTTGGTCCATCGTAGGATTGACTGTATCAGTTTTAAAAAGTAATAATAATAATAATAATTTCAGGATGATTATGGTGCATGTATTCAGAATACCTTAGAAACAGTATGGACGAGATAATCTTTTCCTTTCCTTTCCTTCCTTTCTTTAAAACTAGAATGTGAATGAAGAAAGATGAAAAGGAAAAGAGTCCATTTGTGAAAAGAAAAAAGAAGCCTTGTTTTCAGCAAAAGAAGTAAAGAAATTCGTCGCTTAGGCAATTTTCGCTGCTCACAGTCGATCCGCAACCATTCATTTTTGCCGCAGTGTGCTTAGGCCGCTTTTTAAGTTGAAAAAAACAAAAACAAAAAAACAAAAAACTTTGAACTCAAAATTGCCGTTCAGCAGAATTGAACCAAGCGTCTGTCACGAGTTACTGTTTAATAGTTACCGCAAATCGTGTTTTTGCAAGGAGTCTCCTGAGATTCTGCAAGACGCTTCTACGTTTCTATTAGGAGTTGGCATTCTGAGTTTTTCAGAGTTTTGACATAACTTGATATGTGGTTACCCAAACGCGTGAACTGTTGGGAAAACATTAGAAGTATAAAACAGTCTACGTCGTTGGCACGCGAATGTGCATTTCTTTGAAGAGTCAGTAATTGCCTTGAAATTTGGTCCGAAGACTCGTAAGATACTAACCTAAAAGACTTTGTTAGGGAATTGCGTTTTTCAAAATGGATCTCCCGCAATGGCCTCCGTTGTAACGAAAATCGGTTAAGTTTTCATCGGTAAACTTGACAGATGAATTGCAAAGCCTATAAGAATATCGAAATATCCTCACACGATTTTGAAGACCAACTCCTCAGGATTGAAATTGAACAGAAATTTTATTGGTGCAGTCAGATGTGATATCGTTCATTTCGAATTGTTGCGCTCTTTTGGTCTAAGATGAGATCGAGCTAAAACGAAATAATTTTTGCCGAATAGTGGATTTCATAATCTTTCGATTAATAAATAGTTAATTGTGGTTATGCGTCAAATAGCGCGTTAAAAATGTATTTGGGAAGGACACCCGCGAAGGTCTTATTACTTCTACAAATTAAAACGTGAAAGCGAAGTTACAATTGCTCAATACAATTTGACCTAAAATTTGACCTACCTACAGAACTTCGTAATAGACCTCGCTCACCGTAGAGTCTCTGTTGCTCAGTGGTAGAGCATCGAAGCGCGGTATCCGGAGGTATGAGATTTGTTTCCTCATGGGGATTCAGAATTTTTTCTTTGTCCCACGCTCGTGACAAGACAAAACACATCTTTCTCTGTTTCTATACCGAGCTAAAATGTTACCATCTCGCTTATTCAATTTACAACCATGACACTATAGAAGTTGCTCATCTTAGCAGTATGCAGGACGGAACTTCGTAATAGACCTCGCTTACCATAGAGTCTCTCTGGCTCAGTGGTAGAGCATCGAAGCGCGGAACCCGAAGGTCTGAGGTTCGATTCCTCATGTGGACTCAGAATAATTCTTTGTTCCACGCTTGTGACAAGACGAAAAACATCTTTCTCTATTTCTTTACCGAGCCCAAAATTTACCATCTTTCTTACTCTATTAACGACAATCAAGTTGTGTCTGGAGTTATATATATATATATATATATATATATATATATATATATATATATAAATATGTATGTATATATTTATTATATTTATTACATACATACCTACATGTATACATACATATACAAACCTACATTTTGTATCTATCTAAATATATATATATATATATATATATATATATATATATATACATACATACATAAAACATTGCAAGTTTGAAAATACTTGATATATATATATATATATAAATATTTTTTTTCCTTTTCCATTCAGGAATAGACACTTTTTGATGAATAAACAAAGGTGTATATATATAATGATACGTAATTTCAAATTGCAGTGTTTTTGAAAACGGGTGTATTTATAGATATATATTTAATTTATTGAAAGAAAAATCATGCCTGTTTCATTGATGGATCTGGCAATATAGAATATAGAGATATAGTTATAGAAATTTGTCCGGACCAATTTCAACCACATGTATCTTCCACTGGATCGCACTACTCCAGTTCCGTAATCTCCACAGAATTCACCAAGAAGATTGGTTGACTGATTACTGCCATCACGAATTTCAAGATTAAATCCCCATAGACATGTTTCTGGAAAGTAACTGCGTATTGTAAAGTTAAGTTCCACATAATGTCCCCGTGGAACTGAAATAAATTTTTTTCCGTCAAATTCCTGGACTTGTTCCCATCCTTGTGCTTGCTTATCATACTCCGACAAACCTGCAATAACTGCAACAAATCAATTAGTCTGGTTGCAACAAAAACAATTAATAGTTATTATAAAGAAATAATAAATAGTAAATAAAGACCAAGACAAAGAAACAATGTGGAAATACAAAAAACAGTAACTTGCATAAGAGCTGAGCTCTATCTTGCAAGCACAATCACTCCTTCTATTAAATTTTAGACCATTAGACGAATCTTAGGTAAAAATACCCTTTTTTCTTTTTTTTTATCCTCCGCACAAGAGAAATTGAGGAATGCCCACAAATCGACCTCTGCTAGAACTGGGACAAAAGACCCACAAAACGAATGACGATTTCAAAACTTCAAGGTTTCAAGTTCAATAATATGAGCTATCTCATTCACAGACACAAAATAACCAAAAACTAAATGAAAAAATAAGCACAGACGTTCTGTAAAGTAACTAGCTCAATAACACAATAGAAATTTTCGGTCAGGGCTGGGGCTCACCAAGCTTGGGTTATAGCCCAGCACCAAAGAGTCTCCGATTCCAAATGGAAAACTTGCCACCGATTTAGAATTAAGAGCGTGAATGTAGTTTCCTTGTGAAAACAGTGTATCGAGGATAGAGAAAAGCTGTTTGATTACTGGTTTTCCAGTATATTTCATTGATGTCATTTTATTTAGTTTTAAATCAAATGAATTTTATTGAATTTGAAAGGGATTTAAATCTCATTAAAATAAACGCATCAGCAAGATATGCAGCAGATCCTTATTTGGACTTCAGATGGGACAATCTTGACGTCTTGGACATTTTGTGACAAAGAATGGGCCCCACTTCACATGCATGATTTAAGTTGCATGATACATTCATATTCAAGAGATAACAAGCTCTTGCTCCTCTTTCAGCAGATGCCATCTTCGTTCATCCTCTAACTCTTCAATGCCCTCCTTCGGCTAATATCCCATTCATTACCTCTATTCCCTTCCCAGTGTCACCCACTCCACCCATGGAGCCTCCCCTTCCTCATAATTAGGAAAAAAAATTAAAAAGCTTAAAATATTTAGATAATGTTTGTAAACAACTAAGGCGCTCACAGAAAACAAGGATGAAACTCCACTTGGCCATTGAAGATACCATCACAATGTTGTGCGCTGAAGAAGTAAATTTGATATGCTTAATTATCCTTTCTGATTTTGAATTAAAATATTTATCCTTCTAGTGATTATTATAATTTCAAATGCTTGTATTCACCTAATAAGAAAGTAATTTTTACATTAGCATCATCTACATAGAGTCAGCCATTTTTTAAATAAAATTTTCGAATAAAAACAATCTTTTGATCAAAGACAGGTGACCAAAGCTAGTTCCTCTTAGCTTTGTTTTCCTACCACGATTCTTGTCTTATTTTTACAGATAACCTCAAATGCACGCACAGAATCTTCGTAGAGCGGATAGTCATTCTTCTTTTCCTTCCTTAGCCAAAATATCTCGGAAAAGAGGCCACTTAAAGTATCTCAATAAGTTGATATTTTCAGGTTTAAATTACGCAGGCCATCAACGTGCACCCAAAATGGATCAGTCTCAATTCTCGCTGACAAACCACTTAACAACGCATTCAAATAAGAAATAGGAATTCTAATGTGATCACTGAGCTCAGTTAGAATTCAGTTACGAGATGAATCGTTGATAAACTTATTTCTAATTCATGGCGACCGATAACAATATTCCATACTCTATTTGGCGCTTTTCATCCTCTAAACAAGAAATATAAAGGTGATTTTTATTCCTTTTGAATCGCTGAACAAAATCCCACCGTTTCGCAAGGTAAATATTATGTTCATGCATTTTTAATGTAAGAAAGAAAGAATGTACAAATTTTTTTTAATTTTCCTTCCTACAAAGAAAATGCTTCGCTTTTCCCGTGTGGTGTTCTCCAGCCCCTTCAGCAAGAATATTGGTGACATAATAAGAGTTTTGGAGGAAATAAATTGAAATCCTCGCGCTGTGAATAGTTATCATTTTATCCATCACTCAGCTGATAATTTTACAAGCTTACTGCTTCTTGTTTGTGCTCTGATGTCATTTGAATTTTTCATTTGATCGAGTTGATCGTTTTCCAAAATTCTCAACACCATTTTTCTTGACAATATAACGATGTTGGTGGAGGGGAATGAGATTTTGATGAATTGAATGAAGTGTTATTATGAGTTGATTCAAGTTTTACTCATTTTTTTATGTACTGGTTTTGACATGGCGTGAAATGCACATCTAGAGCATAACTCACAGACACTATGGTTAAAAACTGAAAGGAATCGAGTTGATTTTGCAGTGGAAAATATTCTAGACATATTAGAAACTATATTGTGGTAAAGCACGTAGCATATTCAACAACAGGATCGACATCTGTACTGACTGTGTACAAGTAGTTATCTTGCAATAAAAAGGAGGGCTCGCCACCTTTAGATAAAAAGAGCTCGTGATAGAATAACTAGGTTCTTCATTGTTCTAAAATTTATCTTAAATTCTAAAACCGTTACTATTCGTTCTTTTTGGTAAGAGAACGGCTATTGCCCTTTAAACAACAGATGTTTCAATATCTATATAAATATACTAGTTATATTTTGCATAATTTTTGGTGCGAATGTCGCGAGAAACTATTCAAAAGTATTTTCAATCTTTAGATGAAGAAAAGCCACAGAAATGTTAGGTTTGCG